CATCCCTCCGCCCTCAAGCAGACAGGTCTACTTTTACTAGTCAGCGTTGTCAGTGATCTCAAGGTTTTTTAATTAATAAAGAATGAATGGATTCAGAACAATAGCAACTTTTTCCTGTGTCAGCTGTGGTCGAAGGGGGGGGGGGGGGATTGGCTTACAGCAAAGTACATTCACCAAAGGGGGCTACTTTGTATCAAGGACAAACACACACACACACACACACACACCTGTCACACCATAGCCTGGTCAGTCATGAAACTATTTTTCAAAGCCTCTCTGATGCGCAGTGCGCCTACCTGTGCTCTTCTAATTGCCCTGGTGTCTGGCTGTTCAAAATTGACCGCCAGGCGATTTGCCTCAACCTCGCACCCTGCCATAAATGTCTCCCCCTTACTCTCACAGATATTACGGAGCACACACAAGCAGTAATAACAATGGGAATATTGCTTTTGCTGAGGTCTGATCTACTCAGCAAACAGCGCCAGCGCCCTTTTAAACGTCCAAAGGCACATTCTACCACCATTCTGCACTTGCTCAGCCTATAGTTGAACTGCTCCTTACTGCTGTCCAGGCTGCCTGTGTACGGCTTCATGAGGCATGGGAGCAAGGGGTAGGCTGGGTTCCCAAGGATAACTATTGGCATTTCAACGTCCCCAATTTTCTGGTCTGGGAAGAAAGCCCCTTCTTGAAGCTTTCCGAACAGCCCGGAAAGAAAGGAGTGTCATGCACCTTTCCCAACCATCTCACGTTGATGTCGGTGAAACGGCCCTTGTGATTCACCAGTGCTTGCAACACCATTGAGAAGTATCCCTTGCGGTTTATGTACTGTTTGGCAAGGTGGTCCAGTGCCAAGATAGGGATATGCATTCCATCTATTGCCCCACCACAGTTAGGGAACCCCATTGCAGCAAAGCCATCTACTATGACCTGCACATTTCCAAGAGTCACTACCCTTGTTAGCAGAAGATTATTGATTGCCTTGGCTACTTGGATCACAGCAGCCCCCATGGTAGATTTGCCCACTCCGAATTGATTCCCGACTGACCAATAGCAGTCGGGCATTGCAAGCTTCCACAGTGCTATCACCACTCGCTTCTCAACTGTCAGGGCAGCTCTCATCTTGGTATTCCTGTACTTCAGGGCGGGGGAAAGCAACTCACAAAGTTCCATGAAAGTGGCCTTACACATGCGAAAGTTTCACAGCCACTTGGAATTTTCCCATACCTGCAACACTATGCGGACCCACCAGTCTGTGCTTGTTTACCTGGCCCAGAATCAGCGTTCCACTGTATCAACATGCCCCAATGATGTCCCAATTGCCAGATCCAGTGCTTTCAGGAACGTCTGTGTCCATGTTCTCCTCACAATCTTCCTTTTGCTGGGGGCTCCTAGCTAGGCTCTGCACATACTGCAGGACAATGCGCGAAGTATTTACAATGCTCACAAAAGCAGTGTGCAGCTGAGCGGGCTCCATACTTGCCGTTCTATGGCTTCTGCACGGGTAACCCAGGAAAAAAGGCGTGAAACAATTGTTTGCTGTTGCTTTCAGGGAGGGAAGAAGGGAGGGATGGAAGACTGACGACATGTGCCCAAAACCACCCGTGACAATGTTTTTGCCCCATCAAGCATTGGGAGCTTAACCCAGAATTCCAATGGGCAGCGGGGACTGTGGGATAGCTACCCACAGCGCACCACTCCGTGAGTCAATGCTAGCCACGGTAGTGAGGACACATTCCGCTGACATAATGCGCTTATTGGCAGGACCGGCTCCAGCGTTTTCGCCGCCCCAAGTGGCAAAAAAAAACAAAAAAAAACCCCACAACACAAAACAAAACAAAAAAAAGCCGCAATCAGCGGCACTTCGGCGGCAGCCGAAGAATGAGGCGGCAATTCGGCGGTGGATTCCTTGGTCCCACTTGGAGGGAAGGACCTGCCCCGAAGAGCCGGATGTGCCACCCCTTTCCGTTGGCCGCTCCAAGCACCTGCTTGCTGCCCTGGTGCCTGAAGCCGGCCCTGCTTATTGGGGACACGCACAATCGACTGCATAAAATCGGTTGCTAAAGATAGACTTCTATAAAATCAAACTCACTTCGTAGTGTAGACATGCCCTAAGTGCCCTACTATACTGACATAATTCAACCTCCATGAGAGGTGTAGGGCTTATGTCAGTGTAGTTAGGGTGATGCAGTTTCTGTGTAGACATTGCTTAACTTACATGAGCTGTTGGTTCTCATTCTTGTCAATTTTCAGCTCTGCGCTGGAGCCATGAAAGCTCCATGCTGTGAACCCCGTGCCTGGCTGTCATCCCAGGGCATGTGGGGTGTGTGAGGTTGCACTCTATACGATTTTATGAAAATATGCTAATGTAACTGGAATATGCTTCATGCAAAAGGTCTCTTGTAAGGTATCATCACAAAGCTTATAATCTACTGAGTGTGATCATCCTATTTGTATAAATGTACCACTCTTGTATCTGAAACTAGAAATATGAAATATAACTCTGAGGGCCTATTGTAATTATGCAAAGTGTGGGCCATTAATGGTGGTTTGGAATCTTGACTCCCATTAACCAGGACAAATGACTGCAGATGGCTGTAAGTCTTCCTGTATACGTGTGTGCTGGCAAGTGGGTAACGAAGTCTTACAGTGACATGTGATCATGTCAACTGAACTGGAATCCATCTTTAACCTGGTACTTTTCCATTGAGAAGGAGGGTGGGGAAGGTGGGAACCCAGAGGGACAAAGGATTCCCGCCTTAAGCAAAAGATATATAAATGGGTGGAACAGAACAAAGGGAGAGCCATCATGAGGAATCCCCTAGCTACCACCTAAGCTGGAACAAGGGCTGTACCAGGGGAAAGGACTGTGCCCAGACTAGGAAGGCGTCCAATCTATGAAAGAGACTTATTGAAATATCTCTCAGGGTGAGATTTTTACCTGTACTCAGTTGTATTACTGTATTAGGCTTAGATTTGCATGTTTTATTTTATTTCACTTGGTAAATCACTTTGTTCTGTCTGTTACTATTTGGAACCACTTAAATCCTACTTTCTGTATTTAATAAAATCACTTTTTACTTTTAATTAACTCACAGTATGTATTAATACCAGGGGGCGGGGGGCAAACAGCTGTGCATCTCTCTCTATCAGTGTTATAGAGGGTGAACAATTTATGAGTTTACCCTGCATAAGCTTTATACAGGGTAAAACTGATTTATTTGGGGTTTGGACCCCCCATTGGGAGTTGGACATCTGAGTGTTAAAGACAAGAACACTTCTGTAAGCTGCTTTCAGTTAAGTCTGCAGCTTTGGGGCAAGTAATTCAGACCCTGGGTCTGTGTTGGAGCAGATGGCCACGTCTGGCTCAGCTAGACAGGGTGCTGGGATCCCGAGATGGCAGGGAAGGCAGGGGCAGAAGTAGTCTTGGCACATCAGGTGGCAGCTCCCAAAGGGGGTTCTGTGATCTAACCCGTCACAGAGGCACCAGCTAGAGCCCAGCTGCTGCCCAGGCTCCCCACTCCGAACCAAGCTCTGGGCCAGCCACCCCCCACTATCTCCTTAAGTCAGTGGAAGCACTCCTGATGAGGATGCACACCACCAACAGAAGAAGGGCAGCGGGGACATGAAAAAGCGCAGTAACTTCTGAGGGGGCTGTAAGTGGATCTAACATAGGTCGAGTTAAGCTTGTAGTGTAGACGTGCCCTCAGCCTTCACCTGCAGGGTTTTAAGTACTGGGGAGGCAGAGACTGAACCCTGAATAAAGACAAGCAAAGGATTGTACTGATCCTGCATAGAGAAAAGCAGAGAGAACTAAACTCTAGGAGTACTGCATCTTGCTGAGCAACCAGGGCTCAGACACGTCAACACAAATACCAGCACCTCTCTGAAGCCACTATCCTTTTCTCTGGAATCTCAGCTTTCCCTTACATCAGTCTCTATCTGCAATGGTGCAAAGCCCCAAAAACATGAGCGGAATACCCTGTGCTAAGAGGAGTCAGCAGACAGCCCAGAATACCCTGAAGAGGTGTCAAGTGCCTCATTGTGCCAGCAAGACAATAACTCGGAGGCCTATTGGTAATTCATCATTTGAAAGTCAACACAATGATTTTGGCCCTCATGTAAGAAAAGAAGAGGGAAGGTCACAGACGGGACCATTTACAGAGAGTGATCCCTCATTTTGGTGACACAAATGGGTGGCATTCGGGAGACACTGTCACTCCACTTTCCACACACTGAAGATGCAGAGCCAAGGTTGGAGCCAGAGCCATTTTGAACATCTGCATGACCTATCATGAGCAGTGTCTCATTCCGGCGATTCACATGGGTTGAGTGTGGCAGAGTTCCACCACCTTTCTTGCCCCAATTGGACCCATCAGAGGCTGAGGCTGCTTAAGAAGCAGCCCGGAGAGATCTCTGTTGTGACTGTCTTTCTAGCCATGGATGTCCAAATTGCACAGAGTTCAAAGGAAGGGGAAAACACTGGGGAGAAAAATAATCTATGCACCACATACAACTACCCACTGCAGTACAGATTTAAAAGTTATAGATCACGTGCAAGTTTAATTCTAGGCTGTAGGGCCCTGTGACATGGTGTACAGGTCCTCTGAGGCCCCCTGCTGGAGGCCTTGTGATCCTACCACACCCCGCCCCAGAAAAGGAACAGCAAAGGTGGGTCCCCCAGGCCTGCCTAGAAAGGCTGCAGAGAGGGAGCCAATCAGAACACCGCAGGCTCAGTTAAAAGGAGCTGCAAGAGCTCAGCGATTATCATCAGTTTACACCCTTCTGGGGAAGAAATCCTTTGTAGAGCATTGAACAGCAGCTTCTCATACAATACCTGTCCATGGACAGCATCATCACTGGCTTCCTGCTCAGAAGAGAAGCTCTCATACTCTTCTTCAGAATAGTTATCTGTAATGTAAGGAAAGGGCACAAAGTCTTATAAGACTCTCTTTGGAAAGAAGGGGAAGCCTTGTTGCTCAGGAGAGCAAACTTCAAAAAATTCACCTGGCTAACATTCCTAGAATCAAGGAATATGAACATTTGGGGAGAAGACTAAGGGCGTATCTTTTAGCTGCACTAGAAAGGTAGGATGAGAACTTCCCACAGAGAGAGCGAGTATGATAAATACTCAGCTAGCAGACAGGAAATTCACCCACAAAGTAGAGAAGGTTGGCATGCAGGTAGGCCCTTCCCCTGGAGGGAGCCAGTCTGCAATGCCCACCCCAATAGGAAATAAGCAGGGACTGCTGCCATATAGTCCAAGATGGAGTGGGCATCACTCCGCCTCGACCCATGGGGCAACTCAAGCTACACACTTCTCCAGGATTTGTTCCCCTAACCAGGCACAACTGCAGAACCAAATATGGTGAGTGGAAAAAAGATCCTGTTCCTTACTGAAATGATACACCAAGTAAATTGTCTCACTCTATTCTGGACTCCAACTAGGCATCTGTGTGGTGCATGCCCATGTATCTTGCAACATGGACTTCCTATCTGAAATCAGAATTAAGCCATCACTTAAAAAAAAAGAAAAAAAAAAAGCCCATGAACTTACTCTCCAGAAGTGTGCAAGATTTAGTCACGTGAGGTAAACCAGAGTAACAAGGGAGTCTAGCCTCCAGAGATCATGCAGTAGAAGCTATCTATGGAAGCACTTCTCATCTTGGTTTTTGTAACAGCCAGTTGATACAGTAGTCACCAACCAAAAACAGGACAAGGAGATAAACATTTATATCTAACTTACTAATGGAATTTTCAATGCACACTGCCCCATACTATCTAAGTGTCTAACAGCAAAGCAACAGTTCAAAATATCACCAGCTCCAAACAGGTCTACTTCCTTGGAGTGTCCTTCAGCTCTCAAGTGTCCTTGAAAATGTCCTCTCTCTCCCCCGAGTCAGTGAGGAGTCAGTTTGTGGTCTATTGATGCATACACATACTATTTCATTTAACTTTTAGTGTTGTGCTTCCCATTTGTACTTTGGTTCGCCCCTGCAGGGAGAGTTTCTCTAGATTTTTATTTTTTTATGTTACAGTATTTGGTATAACAAGTGTATGGTGAATGTGCCAAGTGCTCATAACAACTTTTGCTCCAAACAGTGACGTTAAGCGAGACCAAACTGGAACCAATCTATATTCTGTTTAGATATGTTGTAGTGAGCTCTTAGTTTAATGCTGAGAGTGTGCAGAAATGGAACCTTGGAAAACCAACTGCAAAATGGGGTTCCTATGGCTCCCTGATGATGGTGCTTGTGTGTATGATGCAACAGAGAAGGGAATTGAACAACATGGGCCCCAATTCTGTTGCTCCTTACATACATCACGAAAACCTCTTTCATATTACTGTAGAGTTATAGCACTGGTAAGAACTGGTACTGATTTGTCCTAGAAATTAACTCCATTTGCCTGCGATTCTACCACTAAACACTAGTCTTCAGAGTGCAGAATTGTATACCATTAGCTACAAACCCTCCCCCGCCATCCCTCAGTCCAATCCCAAATGTCAAATAATTACATGCTATTGCCATGGTGTCAATGGGGGCCGCTGCTGCACTCCCATCTCCAAACATGCGCTGCCATACCCAGTGTCAGCTGAGGTTTATTCTTTTATAACAAAGATTAAACAGAAGGCAGCCTTAAGTCAATACCTGGCCCCCAGGCTTCAGGGCCACTCCTCCCAGGGGTCTCTGACACTCCAGCTCCTGGCAGCTTCCTTGCCTTGTCCAGGTCTGCTTCCCTCTCTTCCTGGAACCCCTGGCCCCCTTGCTCTAGGGACCCACCACAGGAGTTAGCTCCACTCCAGTGTGACCTCTACTGACCACAGCTCAGCCTGTCTTGGTCCTTCCTCCCCAGCTGCCTACCAGCAGCCCTTTATAGGCCCTGGTGTAGCCCAGCCCCCGGTGTAGCCCAGCCCCCATTAATTAGCTGGATGAGGCTCACCTGCTCCAGCCTAGGGAAGCTGGGCTCAATCTATCTGCAGAGACCAGCTACCATGTGATACATGGTAAAGAGGTAAGGAAATCTGAACTAGTGCCAGATGAGAATTTATCAAGAACCAATGGAGCACAGGATCTCAGAAGCCATGGGGTTTGTCTACATGGTGACTATCCACTGTAGCTATTCCAGGCTAGCGCCCCATATAGACACACTCATTCTTTACTGAGAGTGCCTTTTTGTGGTTTAGCTTGATCTTCAGTAAACAAGCCCTAGGTCAGAGAGGGAGGAGGGATAGCTCAGTGGTTTGAGCATTGGCCTACTAAACCCAGGGTTGTGAGTTCAATCCTTGAGGGGGCCAATAGGGATCTGGGGCAAAATCAGTACTTGGTCCTACTAGTGAAGGCAGGGGGCTGGACTCGATGACCTTTCAAGGTCCCTTCCAGTTCTAGGAGATGGGATATCTCCATTAATTTACAATTTATTTTTTTTATTTACAATTTAGAGGATTTTACTTCACAGAGAATGTGGAAGAGGAGGAGAACAAAGCTGATTTCCATGGTTATTTGCAGTGCTCTGTTTTGGTTCCTCTTCACCCCTCACAACCTGCTGGGTCAGGAATTTCCTAGACCACATTGTAGTTTTTAAAAAAAAATATTTAGTTCTTCTCTTTCCAAGCCCTTCCCTCCTTCAAGCCATTTGGTTATCACTAAAATGCAGAAAGTGGCACATTGTTATTTGTGCTGTTTGAAGGCCCCCTGCAGGACCAGGGCCCCACTGGGACAGGCACTTTACAAACATAAGGCAGTCCATGCCTTACGTGGTTTGTTTGTTTGTTTTTTGAAAGCACATGCCATCTGAAGAGACCAAGAGGAGGGATGGGGAAGGGGATTTGACATGATGGGGAAGGGAGCAAGATGGTGGCATAGACAAGGCCAGCTTTAGACTTTTTCTGTTTTATTTATATCACAAAAATGTAAGTTGAAGAAGTTTCCAACCAGATGGGCTTTCAGGGAAAAGGAAGGGATTGTCGGGGGAAGAGACGGGAGAGGAAATAGACGGGCTTAAGTTCAATAGAGGGCATATTTTTTACCTGTGGACTTGATCTTCTGGCTAGGCTGCATGGTGCTGTCTTCATGGTCTATTGGCTGACTAGACAGTGAGAAGATCCAGATCTCTGCTACTTTGGCCGTGGTTTCCTTGATGTTACTGAAAAGGCTCAGAACCTGGCCTCCTTCAGACGGGTGCTGCATCACCTGGGATTGGGGAAGTAACAGTCTTGTATTTAAATATTGTGGACCTGATTCCCATCCACTAACATTGGAAGAGTTATTTAAGGAGTTACTCTGGGTATGCAAGAAGGCTAAAATGCCTGGGTCTAGAACAGGGGCAGGGAAACTTTTTGGCCTGAGGGCCGCATCAGGTTTTGGAAATTGTATGGTGGGCCGGGCCGCCCCACCTATCCGCCCCCACTTCTCACCCCCGACGGCCCCCCAGGACCCCTGCCCCATCCAATCCTCCCTGCTCCCTGTCACCTGACCGCCCTCAGAACCCCTGCCCCATCAACCCCCCTCTCCTTCCTGACTGCTCCCTCGAACCTCTGCCCCATCCAACCACCCCTTTTCCGTCCCTCACGCCGCCCCATCCACCCCCTCCTTCCTGATAAACTCCCAACCCCTGCCCCCATTCAACCCCCCTGTTCCTGCCCTCTGACCACCCTGACACCTATCCATACCCCCACCCCCTGCCCACCACCCCAAACTCCCCTGCCCTCTATCCAACCCCCCCACTCCCTGCCCCCTTATCGCGCTGCCTGGAGCATTGGTGACTGGTGGCGCTACAGCCACGCACCGCGCAGCACAGAGCACCGGGTCAGGCTGGGCTTTACAGCCCCGCCCCAGGAGCTTGCAGCCCCACTGCCCAGAGCATTGCACCAGTGGGGGGGCGAGCTGAGGTTGCGGGGGAGGGGAAACAGCAGGGGAGGGTCTGGGGGCTAGCCTCCTGAGCCAGGAGCTCAGGGGCCGGGCAGGTGGGTCCCACGGGCCGTATTTTGCTCACCTCTGTTCTAGAAGAACCACCAGCTATAGACACTATTTAAATGCTATTTCAGAATTTACTTGGCTATCAACTCAAGGAACTGGCAGGGATAGAAGATTTCAGTTTGACATGTGATCAGATCATACTGAAGCATGTTATTGGATTACCCTCATTATTATTTGTTAGCTTGCCACTAATTTTAGTGATCATTAAGTTATCCAACTCATGAATTCCTAAACAAAAACCCTCCAAATCTACGTTAAAGCCAGCTGAAGAAACCATCCGCAGTGACCTTTCCCTGGACAAGCACATTAGGTGCTTTATAGAACAAACTGAAAAAAGCAAGTCCGTGCCCCAAACAGCTGACAACCTAGATGTGACAATGAACTGGTCAAAGCATAGGCAAAGGGACATCTTTGGGGCTCTATAAAAAATGGAATTTGCTTCTTCATTCTTTGCCACCTTCAGCGTGATGATGATCACACCTTCCTCCTATAGATTCTCTTCTAGGCTTCCAAGACTGTCCCTCTTGTGCTCTTCCTATCCATCCAAATGCCCTTTCAATAGCACCTCCCCTCCTGGTCTTTATCAGTGTTCCTCAGGACTCTATATCTGGCCCCCTCCTATTCTCGACCTTCCCCCCGGGTGACCTCATCCACTCAAGGATTTAACTGGCCACCTTTATGTTGGTGATTCACCAGTCTACCCCTCCTACCCTTAACCTATCTGTTCAGTTTTGCATCTGACATCAGCAGGGAGAAGAAGAAAAACTCTTGTAAGAATTAAGAAACTAAAAATTCCAGGATGTACTATTTATAGGGTGCTTTATCAGAAACTGGATTTTTTAAGTTTGGAATTTTTTTGAAATTCACTGCTGACAATCTCTTCTAGGTTCAAACACATAGCAAATACTTCACAGATATTTAGCATTTTCATATCCTCTGCTGTCAGAAGTGACAGAACAGTAAGAAAAAGTATTATATTTCAACAGTGAATGCTTAACATTTTAAAGAGATTTGCTCGTGAGCTTACTTGAGTGCTGCTCATATTTTTTAGTTTAATTTCCAATTATTAACAATGAACCAAACATGATACAAGACAAACAAACAAACAAAAAGGCCAAAAATTAGGATGTAACCGAAACTCAAATGCAGTAGTGAAAACGTATTAAAAGCACAATTCACACAAAATAAATCTGTAGATAAATCAATCAATTATCTAAAAGCACAAGAACCTAGCATGATTGCAGTATAAAACCATTTCATTTAGCAATAAATTCTCCACTGATGGAACTAAATTTATGGAATGAAATTTTCTGGAAGATTTCTATGCTAAGTGTAGTATGGCAGGTTTCTACTACACAATGCTTCTAACACTATATTTTTAATATTTACAAGTACACAGCTGCGTAGATTAGGGAATAAAAAAATTAGAGTGGAGCTAACTGAAGTTCAGTGGATACCATAAGCATCTCCTGCAACTACTGATTCAAAGTTGAAAGTCAGCTTGCTTTGGTCATCTGCTTTCCATGAATATTCAAGCAATCAAGTTGTATTAACAAGAATGACCATGAAAAGTAAGCTTCAAGATTTCAATGCCTGAAAATGGTGGAAATTATACAATCAAGGTGAACTATCATCACGCACATGCAGAAAAGGACAGAATTAAGATTGCATAGGCTACTTTGATTTCAGCATTTCCTACCTTTGAAATGCTGGACTTTGCAACCTTAATGTATTTGGATGGAGTAAGATAAAATGTGTTATTTATGTTCAAGAATTCAAGAAACAGACAGATGTTAGCTCAACTGAATTAAATTTACTGCATCTTTGGTTGACTGTTCTTGTGCATTATTTTTTCAGAATATTTATTAGAAGTGCTTAAACTCTCATGCCAAAGTGTGTTTTAAAGACAAGGGGAACAATAGCATATTTGGGCAAAGTACTTGGAACTGAGCCCGAACCTTAAAAATGCTAAGAGAAATAAGCCAGCCCTTGCTTCTCCTGCTTATATTTTATAGAAAATACACAGCATTTATTACTTTATATTATTTCCATTAACACTCTTGCCCTATAAACCTTGGTACACTTGAAAAGTGAGACACATATGAAAGCCATCTAGGTACTTTTCTCAGAAAAGAATGGTAGCCTTGGATTTAAACTGAGGATAAAGGGCATATGCTGACTCCATCCGAACGCTTTGAGTTGTGCTGATGAACATCTACCTCAGCCATGTTGATGGAGCCCACTGCTAAAGTCTTGTAGCCCAGAATCGTTCGGTTTTTGTATCGCTTCCTCCTTTGCAGCATGATCTGAAGCTTGTTGCCTTCTCTTTTCAAGAAGTGAGGATACTGAAGTTAGAATACAATTTGAAAAAATGTTACACTCCTTGTCACTAGCTCCCAGCTACCCCATTTACAGCTGACACACACTTGTGCTTGTTAAGGTTAAATACCTTGCCCAGTCCCAGTGCTTTTAAAGATGTTTACAGTTCACCTAATCTTTTGTTCTAGGAGTAGCAGCAGCAGCTGACAACTCTGCACTGGTTCCAAGGAAGACCAAGCTTTAGGTACTTCTGACTGAAAAGTTTTTACAGCCAAACATTCTCTTTTCACCACTCTGTTCATTCTGCCCTCACAACACTGAAGAACGCAAAATAATTACTCAGCTTACAAAAACAGCTCTGCAGAAGTGCTTTCAATGGGTCTCTAACAGAACATGAGCTTGTTTGGGTGGCTGGTAAGGGAAATCTGTTTGTGTAAACCTCAATTGACCTATATACATTATACAGGAAAGGAACTGGCCCAGCCAATCACAGCACAGGGAGGCCTGATCTTCAACTGTACGTTTATTTCTCATGTAAGCAACTTCCTGAATGGCTGGCGTTTTATGTGCACAATGTCCTCATGGTTATTTCTCAGTAGACAAACTGAATCCCTGCGTGCTGTCTTGCTGACAGCTATTTGCAAGAGTGCAGAGATCTGTGTAACCACTAGGGCTGTTGATTATTCACAGTTAACTCTCACGATTAACTCAAAAAGATTAATCACAGTTTCAGTTGCACTGTTGAATAGAATACCAATTGAAATGTATTAAGTATTTTTGGATGTTTTTCTACATTTTCAAATATATTGATTTTAATTACAACACAGAATACAAAGAGTACACTGCTCACTTTATATTTTTATTACAAATATTTGCACTGTAAAAATGATAAACAAAAGAAATAGTATTTTTCAGTTCACCACATACAAGTAGTGTAGTGCAATCTCTTTACCATGGAAGTGCAACTTACCAATGTAGATTTTTTTGTTACATAACTGCACTCAAAACCAAAACAATGAAAACTTTAGAGCAGGAGGGGGCAAACTTTTTGACCTGAGGGCCACATCTAGGTATGGAAATTTTATGGTGGGCCATGAACACTCATGAAATTGGGGTTGGAGTGCAGGAGGAGATGATGGCTCTGGCTGGGGGTGTGGGCTCTGGAGTGGGGCCAGAAATGAGGAGTTAAAGGTGCAGGAGGGGGCTCAGGGCTGGGGGTTGGGATGCAGGGGGGGATGAGGGTTCTGGCTGGAGGTGTTGGGTCTGGGATGGGGATGATGGGTTTGGGATTTAGGAGGGTGCTCCAGGCTGGGACCAGAGTTCAAAGGGTGGAGCAGGGGGTTGGGGCATGAGGGTTCCAGCTGTAGGTGTGGGCTCTGGGGTGGGGCAGGGGTTTTGGGTGCAAGAGCTTGCTCCAGGCTGGGATTGAGGGGTTCTGCAGACAGGAAGGGGATCAGGGCTGGGGGTTGGGGCCCAGAAGGGGGTCAGGGTTGCAGGTTCCATGCGGTGCTTATCTCAAGCAGCTCCCAGAAGCAACAGCATGTCCCCCCTCCAGCTCTTATGCAGAGGCACGGCCAGGCGGCTCTGTGTGCTGCCCTGTCTGTAGCACCACCCCTGCAGCTCCCATTGGCCACAGTTCCTGGCCAATGGGAGCTGCGGGGGTGGCGCTTGGGGTGGGTGCAGCATGCAGAGACCCCTGGCTGCCCCTACGCGTAGGAACCAGAAGGAGGACATGCCACTGCTTCTGGTAGCCACGTGGAGCGTCCCGCAACCCCGCTCCCCAGCTGGAGCGCGGGAGTGGGGCAAGCCCCAGATCCCGCTCCCAAGCAGGAGCTTGAGGGCTGGATAAAATCGGCTGGCAGGCCAGATGTGGCCCGCAGGCTGTAGTTTGCCCACCCCTGCTTTAGAGCCTACAAGTCCACTCAGTCCTACCTCTTGTTCAGCCAAACACTAAGACAAACAAGTTTGTTTACATTTACAGGAGATAATGCTGCCCACTTATTTACAATGTCAACTGAAAGTGAAAACAGGCATTCGCATTGCATTTTTTTAGCCAGCGTTGCAAGGTATTTACTTGCCAGATATGCTAAACATTCATATGCCCCTTCATGCTTTGGCCACCATTCCAGAGGACATGTTTCCATGCTGATGATGCTTGTTAAAAAAAAATGTGTTAATTACATTTGTGACTGAACTCCTTGAAGGAGAATTGTATGCCTCCTGCTCTGTTCTATCCGCATCCTGCCATATATTTCCTGTTATAGCAGTCTCGGATGATGACCCAGCACCTGTTGTTCATTTTACAAACACTTTCACTGCAGATCTGACAAAACGCAAAGAAGGTACCAATGTGAGATTTCTAAAGATAGCTACAGCACTCGACCCAAGGTTTAAGAATCTGAAGTGCTGTCCAAAATCTGAAAGGGACGAAGTGCACAGCATGCTTTCAGAAGTCTTAAGAGCAACACTGAGATGCGGAAACTACAGAACCATCAAAAAAGAAAATCAGCCTTCTACTGGTGGCATCTGACTCAGATGATGAAAATGAACATGTGTCGGGCGGCACTACTTTGGATTGTTATCAAGCAGAACCCGTCATCAGTATGGACGCATGTTCTCTGGAATGGCAGTTGAAGCATGAAGGGGGATATGAATATTTAGCGCATCTGGCATGTAAATATCTTGCAATGCTGGCTACAAAAGTGCCATGAGAATGCCTGTTCTCACTTTCAGGTGACATCGTAAACAAGAAGCGGGCAGCATTAACTCCTGCAAATGTAAACAAACTTGTTTGTCTGAGCAATTGGCTGACCAAGAAGTAGGGCTGAGTGGACTTGTAGGCTCTAAAGTTTTACATTGTTTTATTTTTGAATGCAGTTTTTTTCCTACATAATTCTACATTTCTAAGTTGTACTTTCATGATAAAGACATCGCACTACAGTACTTGTATCAGGTGAACTGAAAAATACTATTTTATTTTGTTTTTTTACAGTGCAAATATTTGTAATCAAAAATAATAATATAAAGTGAGCACTGTCAACTTTGTATTCTGTGTTGTAATTGAAATCAATATATTCGAAAATGTAGAAAACATCCAAAAATATTTAAATAAATGGCATTCTACTATTGTTTAACTGTGATTAATTTTTTTAATCGCTTGACAGCCCTACTGACCACCCAATGGTTCTCTCTCAAGAGCCAATCCTGCACCTCACAGGTGCTGACAGGCCTGGCAGAGTCTGGCTTGTTCTTCAGGGTGACAGAGTTGTGTCCTGTCATCACCAGCAAGGCCAGGCAGTGTGACTGAGGTGCTGTCAGGATTAATACCCTGGGCTTCCAACGTTTGGGTTTTGTTTTTAGTAACTACACAGCTGTTCCTGCTGAGAACTCTTGGCCTTCACTTCAGGGCCAAGTATCATCTATGGGAATTTCCTTTCTGAAGTGTCTGACACACTGAGACCCAGTGGTGGCAGGATACCCAGCAAAACTCCTTGTGGTTCACGTGTTCTGGAAAGGCTGGGCCCCGGGAGTTTGAGTGTTTCAATCAGTACGCAAGATCCGGTTTTATTATTAAGTAATAAACTTATTTAAAATGGAGTCTGTACACATGGAAAAGCACCTTCTCACATAAGAATACAGTACACACAAAAGAACTATGTTACAAGAACAGCCAGGTTGCAAAGTCAAGCATTTGATCTGCCTGGGCATATGCATTATGATACAGTATTTAAATACATGATCACATAATTTTTCTACTGTGCCACATTCAGTGCACAGGATGGACTCTGCTAACAGAATGAGTGGCCACACAAGGTTTTTTCCTTGTTGTTCAATGTATGCAGTAAATTAGCCCTGGGCCACACTATTCAAACCCTACTCTGAAAATACAATTATTAATTGCCTTGCGGGCTTTTCTATGGTGATCATCACTAATGTATGTGAAACACTCAGATACTATAATGAATTTATTTTCAAAATACCTTTGTGAAATGAGCAGTGCTATTATCTTCATTTTACAGACGGGGAACTGAGGCATCAAGAAACTAAGGTCAAGAGAATCCACAAATTTTAGGTCCCTGATTTGAGATGCCTAGGACCTGATTTTTCAGAGTACTTAGCATTATACATCACTTCATACATTCAAAGCACAGCTCTGCACTTCAAAGCACTTCTGCAAATTAGACCACAAAGCTCAAGTCAGGCACCAAGAAAATGAGGAACACAATTAGAGAACACATCTTAAACAACTTGCCCAGCAACTCTGTGACAGAGGCAAGGATAGAATCCAATTTTCCAGAGCAGCATTCAACTGCGCTAACCAAGCTCTCCTCCCCCTGCCTCATTCACCACACACCTTCAAACTTCTGCAACAACCGAGGCAGAGGCCCTATAGACAACAGCCTCCTTCGTTACACAGGCCTGATTCATCCTGAGAGCACCATCCATCCTGTGCACTGATTGAGGCAGGGGTGATGCAGAAAAACAGTATGTGATCATGTAATTGGAGACTAAAAATGTATATTCACAGATGGGCCTGTGCAACCCTAAGCCAGTCCCCCTGAATTCAGGCATATCCTAAATTTTGAGAGTTTGAATTTGCAACCTGAATGTTCTTTTAATGTAGCGTGTTTGTGTGTAAGTAATTTCCTAGGTTTTTAAAAAGCAAAACTGGAAAAAGGAAGATCCATCATGTGGCATCCTATTGATATCAGCATGGGTCATCAGTAGGTTGGAACTTTAGAACCATCAAACAGACCTCTGCAACTTGAACAAATGACTAACAGTAATAAGTTGCCATCCTCTGGACCAGCTCTGGAAAGGTGGCCAAGTTAACGTTTCCCATCAAAGGGAAAAAGATAAGAGCTTTATTTTTAAAAAGCAAGCACAGCATTTGCAGAATCCGAAGTTGCCAAGTGACTAACAATCAGAGAACTCTTTATGTGCACCTGTGGTTCTTGTTTTCCTCCTGTTCTAAAGCAGTTTTAAAGCAGGTTCCACTCCTGACTCTAGCAGAAGGGATTTTATGCAGCCTCCCAGTTACCCCCTTCTGTAAAACGTGGGGGATGACACTAGTCTAAGGTACCAAGTATCAGAGGGGTAGCCGTGTAGTCTGGATCTGTAAAAGCAGCAAAGAGTGGCACCTTATAGACTAACAGACGTATTGGAGCATGAGCTTTCGTGGGTGAATACAACGAAGTGGATATTCACCCACGAAAGCTCATG